CTTAGCGATCAAATTTTTTTTTTTCGCTAAATCGATCTAAAACAATCGTCCGTAAGGTCTTATATCCGTCGTTATGCCATCGTTATTTTCACTTATATCCGTCTCTAAATAGCAAAGAAATGGGTGTCGCTAGATTATTGTCACTAAAATCCTCACAATTCTATCCCTATATTCGTCGCTATTTAATGACCATGTATATTTTTGTCGTTAAATATTCTCATAATTTTGTAGCTAAATCCATTGTTAAACAAAGAAATTTTTATTTTATTTTTTTAAATCAATAGTCATATATTGTTAATTACAATAACAAACAACTATAAACAACATCTTATTAAAACACAATATATTATTTAATAAAATTAAAATAATATAATTTGAAATAAAATAAATATATAAATATGTTAAGGTGTATAAAAATATTAAACACTTTTTTAAAAAAGTAAAAATCTAATCCTCAGTATCTTTATCTCTTGCATCATCTTCCTACCACTAGATGTTGAAAGGAACTACTGATTCTTGGGCTATGGAAGGGTAAGTAGGATAGATGCGAGTCTGCTGTAGGTTTTATAACAACTCTATAACTGTTTGCAATTGACTTTGTATGGTGCTAACTGGCTTGTTGCTGGATAGTAGCCTTCATCCTCTCAATCATATTTTAGTAATGGCCAAAAACCTCGTAGATATTACCTCCAAGATACCACAAAGTGACAAAGGAAGAGCTAAAGCAAGAATATGAGTAATATTGAAATGCATAAGATCCAATGTCGTACACTCTCTATATATTCTCCTCTCCTATTAAATTTAAAATAACAATTAATTAATAATATCTAATATAAATAAAATTATAATTCAACTAATTAAACAAAATTAAGCTAATTAATTAATTAATTATAAATCAAATTAACTTAATTAATTCTAATTCTAACCAAATAAAAGTTAAAAAAATAGTTAATTAATAATTTTTAATATAAATAAAGTTAAAATTCAACCAATTAAACATTAATTAAATTAACTTAATTAATTCTAATTCTAACCAAATTATATTTAAAATAAAAATTAATTAGCAATTTCTAATATAAATAAAATTAAAATTCAATCAATTAAAATAAATTAACCTAATTAATTAATTAAACATAAATAAAATAAAATTAATTAAGTTTAAAATAACAATTAATTACCAATTTCCAATATAAATAAAATTAAAATTCAACCAATTAAACAAAATTAACCAAATTAGTTAATTAAATATAAATCAAATTAAATTAATTAAGTCTAAAATAAAAATTAATTACCAATTTCTAATACAAATAAAATTAAAATTCAACCAATTAGGCAAAATTAACCTAATTAATTAAATAAACATAAATCAAATTAACTTAATTAATTCTAACCGTAACCAAATTAAATTTAAAATAATAATTAATTAACAATTTCTAAATAAATAAAATTAAAATTCAACCATTTAAATAAAATTAACCTAATTAATTAACTAAACATAAATAAAATTAACGTAATTAATTAAAAATTAATTATAATTAAATTTAAATAATAATTTAACTAATAATTAACAAAATTTAATAATATAACAAATTAATAAACAAATTAACCTAATGATTAACAAAAATTAACAATTTAACAAATAAATCAACAAAATAACAATTAAATATATACAAAATTATAAATGAAGTAATTAAGCTTAAAATTAATCTAATAATTACAACAAATTACTAACTTTAATTAAAAAAATAAAAGAGAGAAAAAGCTTATCTAATTCGGGTGAAATTACACTAAGATGAGGGAAGGAATAATGTGATTTTTTGTGGAGTTGGTGGATTGATTGAGAGAAGTTTGATAGGAGAAGGAAAGAAAGAGTTTAATTAGGGATTGAAAAATATTGATGAACGCGATCTCTTCACCGATTAACGACGGATACTTATGTTCGTCGCTAACCTATCGAAAAATTAGCAGCCAACTAATTCAAATTAGCCACTCATTTTTTACATATAGCAACGGACGTAAGTGTCCTTCATTAATCTGTCTCTAATTTGATGGTTTTGACTTTCAAAAAGTCCGATCAATTTTTTACCTTTAGCAATGGACGTTTCGTTGTTAATTTTTGAGGGATATTTATTTTATCCATCACTAAATTCAGACTTTGAAAATAGCAATGGATAAGAAATTCTATCGCTATATTCCCTAATAAATCTCGTTGCTAAATTGTCTCTAAAACTCTTAAGAATATTTTGTCGTCAAATTTACCAATGGATTAGTGTTTGTCACTAATAAATCATCACTAATCAATCATTAGTTCTAACGGACATTATTCCGTCGCTATTTGTTTGCTATTTAGCTACGAAGTTTATCCGTCATTGTTTTCTATTGCTATTTAACTATTTTTTTAGTGTTTTTCCTAAACTATTAAATTAAGATTTTGCCTTTCATTCTTGGAGAAAACTTTCTCTTCTAAATTATTTTGTCATTTATACTTTTTTGTACAAGTAACTATCAAAATTGTCTTTATATTCAAAAAGTAGAAAATGACAAAATAATTTAAAAAGGAAAATTCTATAAAAAATGAAATGAAAAAATCATAACAAAGAACTCATCGCCAAATAAGAGAGTAATTGACATAAATTAGATGAAAATACTTGACTTGTGATTTTAAAAAAGTTAATGTACTCAAAAGAAAATAATAAAATTCATATACTCAATTAAGAAACATTAAAAATTAGTATATTTATAATACAATTATTCTTTTCATAAACCAAACACAGGTTAGATCATAATTTTAACTTAATATATCAAACTAAAACTCAAATATGATCATGTCAAGATTGTTGTATAAACGGTGAAGTGGGCTTCCTTGCAACTTGAGAAGGCATTTTAATACTTTGTTTTTATCACCATTTTTTTAAGAAGAAAGTAGTATTGATTTAATTAGAAATGGAGACGAAAAATAGCGGAAGAGCAAAAATAAAGAAATAGAAAGTCATAGATTGATAAAGAGGAGAAATGCTTGATATGTGAGGGTGCAGAGGAGGAGGATAAAGAGACAAGAGTGAGTGTAGATGTTACAAATTTTTATTGAAATGGTTATATATATATATATGAAAACAACCACCAACTTAAATCAAGTCACATGTACTTCACGAATACCCACTACTTTGTATTCCATCTACTCAAATTAAACAACATGTATTCATTCACAATTATATTAAAGTTGATATTTATAATTGAAGTGATTTAGAAAAAAAAAACCAATATATAAAAATAGCAACAAAAATTATATCAATTTTAATATGTGATTGTCAATCAATACATGTATTTTAATTTCAGTGCATGGAGTACGGAGTGGTGAGTAGCAAATTTCAGTTATTTTGGTACCTTTTTAAATAATTTAATGGCATAACTTACTCTAAACTATTGGAGTTGTGATCAAATAAGATGTACATTATCAATTTATGTTATTTGAACTTCAAGATATTAATTTTTAAGCAAAAATTATCATTCTTCATTACCTCATACATTCAAAGTAACCGTTAACTAAAATGTTTTAAACGATGATGTTTTACGCATTTTATTTTTTTAATTAAAATTAATTTCCAAAAAAATATTTAATAACTTAGTTTTTTTACTAGATAGATTCATTAGACATCATTGTGTCATTTTAAACATTTCACTTTTTTTAAGAATTAAAATTAATTTTAAAAAATAATAATTTAGGTTTTTTTTTTTTTTTTTTTTTTAGAGTAGACCTCCAACAACATAAGTACCTATATATAGCAAAATCATCTAAACTTCTTTAAAACTAACTAGTAATATTTTTTTTTCAAAATTAATTTTAATGCTCAAAAAAGATGAAATGCTTAAAATGATATTTTTTAAGCATTTTAGTTAACGTTCAATACTTTAATCTTTAAAAATAATAGAGAATGAAAAAAAATACTCAAATAAAAAATAATAATTTTGGATCCAAATAGCTCAAATTGATAACGTAAATCTTATTTTATCACAATCCCAATAGTTTGGGAGTAAATTATGTCATTAAATCCTTTTTTCTTAGCTAATAAATACTATAATTTTTCAAAAATCATTCAAAATGCGCTGTTATTTAACTAGATATGATATTTTAATGAGTAAATTATAAATTAGTTTTTCTAGTTTAAAAAACTAACTAATTAATTATTTGATCACTGTTAACTATATTTAATTTAGCATTACTCTATTCTAAAAATTGTATTATTCTTCTCATAACATTTCCGTATTATTTTTTTCTTTTCATATCTCTTAAAATAAAATAAATAGGAAATAGTATAAAATGGACACACAAAAATTAAGTTACAAATAGATTTAAAAATATAAAAATTAAATATATAATTTCCGAAACTATAAGGACAAATTAATTAGTTTTAATAAATTTACAATGAAAAAGATAGTTATAATAAACTACAGGGACAAAGTTGTAATTAACTCATATTTTAACCAAGCATAGTACTCCGTATAGAGTAAATTAAAAAAAAAGAAAAAAAAATCAGAGATGAAAAATAGAATTCAAAAAGACAGAAGCAAGTAGCAGCAAACAGTAGTAGCAATTTCATCATTTAATAAAACCTTAAAAACAGGGTAACAATGGAAATATCAGGTAATTAATCGTTAGGGAATTGTGAAGTTGCGAGTTATTAATACATAAATAAAAGATGGAAAGGGAAAGTCTCGGAACAGATTCTTTGACTTCCTTTCCTTTTTATTTATATTTATATTTAGATACACAGTATACATTCAAGGAAAAGTCTCGGAACAGATTCTTTAACTTCCTTTCCTTTCCTTTCTTTTTTATTATTTATATTTATATTTAGATACACAGTATGCATTTCTTGGCTATTGCTTCTGCTTCAAACCTACAAAAGAAAGCCAATCCATCGATCACTGATTAAATAATTAACTAAGTAGTAATAATAATAAAAAAAGCTTGAATCATTTGCCGCCAAACTTATCCAACCATGGATCCTGGTCGTGGTCGAGGTCGAGGTCGCGGTCGCAGCCCCGGAGGAGGCGACCATCCGGGTTCCAGGGGGAAATCTTCGCGTCCCTCTTCTCATTCTTCTCACCGTCACCGTCCTGTAACTTCATATTTCCCTCTTCTTTTACTTAATTTCTTGTATTTTTCTTTGATTGATTGGTTGATATTGGAATGTTGAAGTTTTTTTGTGATTCGTGTGGATTTCCTTTTATAGTAATTTATAGTAACCATCATGAATACAGTATTTTAGATTAATTGGAACTCTTTTTTCTATGCATATTATTTGTTTTTCCATGATCCATTTTGTTGTTTTTTTTTCTTTTTTTAATAATTGGAGTATTCCTGTTAGTTATTGCTGGATTTGCTTAATTTATTAATACTTGGGTATGAGGAGGTTGACATTGATGGGAAGATTTGCTAATGTCATGTACTTTGGAAACTTCATAGCTTGGAGCAGATGGGTCTTCTTCTGATGAGAAACCTTTTAGCAGTAGGGATGCAATGTCGCAGAACAGAAAAAGAAACTCGCTGCAGAACCCACGAGGAGGGTTTTCAAGGTATCCCGGTAGGGGAACTCCTCTGGGTTGTGTTTACCGCCCAAAGACACCATTAGGAAACGGACTTTCTATTGCTGATGATGTGGAAGAACCAAACAAGTCATTAGAAGATAGCATGTCTAGTACGGAAAGGCTCCTGCCCATCCATACTGCTCCCAGTTGCAGCAGTATTGGATCAAATCAATCAGATTGTTCTGTGGCTTCAAATTCAGTTAATGAGGGTGATTCTGCATTGATGCCAGCTATCTCAGGTTCTCTGGATATGCAGCCTGATACTACTAGCATTCGGCTGGAAGAGGAGGCAAGGGATGGTGCAGCAAACCTTGATTTCTCTGATAAACTGAATATTGTCCCATTGCAAAATCAGACTGAGCCTCACCTGCCATTTCAAGCTGGTGTTAATGACCAGCTTTCACAAGAAAAATGTTCCAATAATGCTGCATCTGGTGGGGATTCAGAGCAACAGGCAGTGTTTAAGCCTTTTGATATTTGCTTGCCCAATACTGGAACTACTTTCAAGCTGAAACCTTCTTTGCTTGTGAAGAATAGAGAAAAGAGAAACGAAGTCAGGTGTGCTAAAAACGAGGTACAAGGAGAAATACTAAGATCTGGGATGGTTTTACTAAAGAATTACTTACGCCTTGATGATCAGGTGCTTCTTGCTTTTTGCTCAGTCATTTCCCTTCTTATTGAGTCAATTCCTGTTTGCCAATTTAAAAATTACATATGCTACTCTTGGCTTTCATTTATTGACGTAAAAAGTATCTTACATACTGCGAGCTCGACCTTAAGCAACAGTACCATGAAAACATGGTGATGTAATTGGTAACTAACAAACTTTATGAATAATGGCTGTTGGTGTTTTAACTAGTCTATTGTGGACTTTTATTATTAGTTTATAAGAAACTAATGGCACGGTCTGCCTTCCAATTGATTTTTGTGTATGTCTCATGCTGTCAACTTCCAGCTCTGCTGATTTAGTAGTTACCTTATGCATTGACTTGTTTAAGTATTAATTTATTGTTTGCTTTGACTTGTTTCTAGAAAAAAATAGTAAAGCTATGCCGAGACATTGGTCTGGGTCCTGGAGGTTTCTACCAACCAATTTACCGTGATGGTGGAAGAATGCACCTGAAAATGATGTCCCTTGGTAAAAGTTGGAACCCTGATAGAAGTGAGTATGTAGAGCATCGGCCCATTGATGGTGCTGCAGCACCCACTTTTCCTAGTGAATTTTATCCGCTGGTTGAGAGAGCAATCAAAGCTTCCCGTGTTCTTATAGAAAGAAATGATAAATCTACATGTGCTGAAGACATTCTGCCATCATTGTCACCAAATATCTGTGTTGTAAACTTTTACTCACAAAGTGGGCGGCTCGGTCTTCATCAGGTTTGCAGTTATACTTGCTGCAGTTGTCATGCTGAGAAGTGTTGCTTAAATGGTGTAGGCATATATATATATATATAGATGACTGTCTTTCTTATCCTTGTACTTTGCATAACATCTTTTATGTTGCCTTGTCCATTTTTATGTATTACAATGATTTTGCTTTTTATGAGGTTCAATGAAGCACCCTTGCCTTGTGCATTTTTATGTGTTACAACGATTCTGCTTTTTATGAGGTTTAGTAAAGCACCCTTTTGCTTTTACCCACTGTCTCTTAGTACGCCTAGAATATGTGGTGCCTGTGCAGGATAAAGATGAAAGTCAAGACAGTCTTCGCAAAGGATTACCAGTGGTTTCCTTTTCCATAGGAGATGCAGGAGACTTCCTATTTGGTGATCAGAGGGATGTTGAGAAGGCAAAAAATGTTTTGCTGGAATCCGGAGATGTTCTTGTCTTTGGTGGGAAGTCTCGGCATATTTTTCATGGGGTAAGTTCCATTCAATCAAAGACTGCCCCTAAGGCCCTGCTCGATGAAACAAATCTCCGTCCAGGCCGTCTAAATCTCACTTTCCGTGAGTATTGAAGATCGTGAATATGCGAGGAGCTGTTTCGAGTGATTCTAAGGCCCTGCTCGATGAAACAAATCTCTGTCCAGACTGTCTAAATTTCACTTTCAATGAGTATAGAAGATCATGAATATATACTAGGAGCTGTCTCAAGTGATTGTACACATGAATACTCATGGATGCAGCCTACAAAACCACCTTTTTGGTTGGCTAGGGAAATACAAAAGCATCTCATACATTTGCGAGATATAGAAGGGTTGTTTGTCAGCTCTAACTACCATGTTATTTAAATCTTATGATGCTGTTGGTTTTTGTTTAGTTTTATCTGATTTCTCATGAGGCAATGCTTTTTGTGGTTATTTTGTGAACTTTTGGGAGGATTTACTGTGAAATGCAGGCATGCACCACAAGGTACTTATTTCAAATACAGATGATTTGTTGTGAGGAGCACTTCCATTTCTTTTCCTGCTGTGAAAAAGAATTGAATACAATAAAATGTTGGATAAATTGATATGCTTTCCACAAACCCAAAATTTTGAAATATGTGACTGGGCAGATCAGAGTAACGTCCAACATAAGGATGCACTTTTTAACATCATATATGTGGGAAGGAACTCACACAAAGAAGCAACACACATAAAAAGAACGAACTTGCTAGGATGATTACCCTAAAAAGCCTTTTAGACAAAAGGGAGTTCTCTTACAGATTGATTAGATCTCCTACTAGACGTTGGTGGGTGGGCTGCCATGGCATGGTTAAGGCCACTTTCAGTTGGCATCTGGTAGACCTTATATTTCCTGAAGCGGCTAGTGCTTCTGTCAGTTGCCACTTCAAATGGGCCACCTCTTTTGGCAGCCAAACTTCCAACAGTCACCCGATTGTTTGGTTAAGCTTGCCTTAGGATTTGCTTAAATATAAAACGCTTACGTAATGCAACAAGTAAAGCCACAGGATCAACCACCCTCTCACCAACATATTGTCATGCTCATCAATTTGTTGGATCCAAGTAAGCTTTTCTGCTTCCGACAGCTCCCATAACGACCATTAAAATTGCAATTTACCACGTATAAAATCCCATGTAATTTATGTCATGTATAACCCACTAATCCAATCCAATGTTCCCATCTATAAACCTTGCTCGATCCCCATGTGCTAGTTTATACTTCATATTGTCTAACTGAAAGCATTTGACCATGTTTGATCAGAATGTAGGGCCTCGTGGAATGGAACATTGCGACTTGCAAGAGCTGGAGAGGGCGAGCCATGCTGGAGAAGCAGGGCACATGCTAAATCTATCAGCATGAAAATCTGAGAGTTTTGCATGTGCTCTTGCTCTCCATCTTGGACCTTCCTCTTATGACCACAAGGGTTCAGAAAGCAGAGCAGGGCCTGATTCTGAAATAAAGGTAAGTATTCTAAATAATCTTCGGGCAACTTACTTGACTACCAAATATGCTTATCTAGAGGATGCAGAATTGAAATAAATGTAGAATTCCCACTATATCAACATCACCTGCATTACGTGTTTCTTGACTCGTCTTTTCAGCCTATCTTTGTGATCAGTACTGTAGAGCTAGGATAATAATCAATCAAGAAGCTTTAGTAAATTTCGGTATCATATCAAAGTGGACCTTCATTGGTCTTATTATGCATAAATATTACGTGATACATATATAACTTGCAGATTAAATACATTAGGCCAAATTCCGATCACATGATTTGGCTCAAATGATCTTTTCTTGATAATCAAGATTACCTTACATAATAACTTATTTTATAAACAAGGGAGGATACACAAAATTCTAAATCCAACCCATTCTTTTCTGAATCAACCACGATTAGATCGATTCTCTAGAGCTGATGCAGCTGAATCCACATGAGCAAGCAGGCAAGCATAAATCTTTTGCTTCAACCGATCAACAGTCTCCATTGACTCTTTGTTGTCTTCAGAGCTCAATTTGCTTCTTTGTTTATCTAACCACTCATTTGCATGCTTGAGCTGTGATAATGCGGCAGCAATATGGCTGTTCTCTGGTTCCATACGTTGTGTGACGAAGTCCTTACCTTTCTTCTCTTGGGCACTAACATGAAACCCAGCATCCAATGCTCCCTCCAAGAATCTCAAAAACCAAGCCCTTGTTTCATTCAAAAGAGTCTGTTGGAGTTCTTTGATCTCTTTCATACCATCTCCTTTAGCCCACTCCTGTTTCTCAGTCGCACTTAACTCCATTGAAGGCTTCGGAGACTTCAATGTAGCTTTGGCATAACTTAGACTTGTCTTTTTGCTTGTTTTTTCTGTCTCTGGAGCAGAGAAGTGAGTAAATAGCTGAAGTGGTTTACCATTCAATGGGGTTGTTACATTTGGTTGGTCGATGAGTTGTTGGAGTGTAAAGAACTTGGTGAGAGTGAGGTGGGGGTTCTCTGGTGAGGCAGAGGCGCAGAGCTCGGCAAAGATACTGAAAGAAAAAGGATGAAAGTAAGAAGGATATAGAGAAATGGCAAGTATTATGTCTAGTAAAATTATGCTTTGGCCTTGTTATTTATGTACTTACTTGAAGCACTTAATAAGAGTTGCAGCAGTGGATGCCTCCTTCTGAGCTTCAGCTGCAACCAAGGTAGCTAAATATCTCCTTCGAAGCATTCCCTTATAATATTGTAAACAATGAGAAGAGAGCTGAATTATGATTCTGAGATTGATGAAAAGAAGTTGGCATAGTTTTCTTGTACAAACGCTTCTTCAGTTAGTAGGTTAATGACTCATTCTTGAAGGCAACGCATAATAAATCATTTATTTGTATCAAGAAGATAAAAAAATTTCCATGCGGTTAGCATAATGCACAAGAATGAAAATGTATTTTCGAGACCTAACAAGTACCAACCTCAAGCTTTTTTTTTTATATATATATATATGCACCCTCAAGCTTCCTGAAGGTAAAAAGGGAGAAAGTGAGGAAACTTGGAAAAACTAACCTTCCCGGGCTTCATGAGATTTGCAGGCAGAGAGGTCCATAATGTTGCCTCAGGGAAAGGGATTTTATTGTTATTACTTGACAAAGAATTCAAGTTTGTGTTGTCCTGTTTATTTGATAACCGTTTTACAGAAGTCCTCTTAGAAGGCACTGGCAATTCTTTGTTGTTGGATACGGCCACCTCTGGCTTTGATGAAACTGCATCAGGTCGATTTCGATAAGGAGTCGTCGGGCATGCCTGCAATGCTAATACCGATAACTGTCACTTGATCGATATTTTACATCTTCATTTAGCAGAGTAATGCCTTGTGCATGCACCAAACAAAGTATGTTAAAGTATGTTATTGTAAGGAATCCTATTTTCTCATCTGTATCGATCAGAGTAGGACACAGGATGTCCTGGAAATATTCATAAAGTAATTGCACTATCGTTTGTTTATGCTGGACAAGATAATTGATGCTTTAAAGACCCAGATCATTGCTAGAACATCATGTGCTACTGGTGCATTGTCATAATTTCCACCTACCTGTAATTTGCTTGCAACTTGATCTAGTTATGAAAAAAAAAACTGGCAGAATTTAAAGAAAAACAAGTACTAGAACAAGTTATCTATGTCTCTGGAAAATTAAAATGTATTTGGGAGAATCGTACCTGACCTTTATCTTCTTGCTGCTTGCCATTCATTAATCCAACCTTCTTACCTGGTCCACCATTCTCGCTCTCATTGATTTTCCCAATTCCACTTGAATCCGCTCCACCAACTTTAAGACTTCCTGTCACAACACCCTGCATATACCTAGATGCAACACCAGCCTTTTCCTCTTTGATGACAATTTTCTGTCTTGCATTCTCCCCTTTCACTTCTAATAACTCCCTCAATTTCAAACCATTAACTCCTTCATTATCAACGGGTACTGAACCCTCGGATGGAACCAACATCTGCATCAAATCTTTTGGATTCCCAATGAAATGATTTCTCCCTGGCACTGGTCTAACACCGACTAAAATCGGAACCGGTGTTCCAGCTTCCGCTCTATCAACATAGAAAAACTGCCCAAGTTGTAACTTGTTATTCAAAATTAGCTCATTGTCTTCCTTTGACAATGAGACATAGGTAGAATGTGAGGAATCGGATACTTTTATAAAGAAGCCTTGATTAGGCCATAGTTCTGAGCCTGACAGGGCTGGCACAATGCTGATAACTTGCAGGAGAACCGACCGATGTTCTCCACGAACCTTTACATTCGAGTTTATGCTCTGAAGAAGCTTTAGCAGTACTCCTGGTGTAAGAAATGCCATATCTTTTCCTTCTCTATTTCAAACTATAAACTCTCTACCAATTACCTTTCTTCAACCAAACTTGTAAATCTGATGATGCGCCAAATTTTACAATCAGATCAATTGTACGAACAATATTTTACAGTGAAAAACTAGCAGCATAATTTTAGGTACCGCCTATGGTTTAAAGTATCAATGAACAGTTCCCCCTTTCTTTCTTTCTTGTTTTTTTTCCCCTGTCTATAAGCCCTTGCAGGTAACCTACGGATATCTGAATTGTGAACAAACCCATGCCTTGTTGCCCTCACATCAGGTGAATTCAGGTTTTTTTTCCCTATCATATAATTCGAAACCTGTGACATGCGCCTCCAGCGGGCATCACAGACTGCAATATTTTTCAACTCCTATCAATATATAGATTGCTATTATTCTCTAACCAATTATATGCTATGCAATACTACATGAACATCCTTGAACCTTTTAGACTTCAAAACAAATGAATTTACTAGAATTAATTACAGAATTTTCTTCAAATCTCTATTGAAAACAGCAAAATGAATCCAAAAGTATATACTATCGGCTATCGATGCAGTAGGTACTAGGTACCATATCCGTATGTACTCTATGGTTTGTAAATAAATTTGGCATAGACCAAAAGTTTCTGAAAAAAAAAATAAAAAACAGAAACAGAAACAAAAACAGAGGAAACTTTAACAGCTAAATCATAGATGACATTCATGAATCCAAAACAATCTGACGTATAACCATAGGCAAATATATCAGTTCACACAAGATTGACAGAACAAATTAAAGGATCATACCTGAGACGAAGGGGGTTCTACATTAAAGAGATGGAAGTGTTTTGCATATAGAAATGAAATGATGGCAAGACAGGTACAATCCACCAAAAAAAAACAAAAAGAAACAATTTGTATTGATGGTAGAAACCATTGGCAAACCTCAAAACCTCTATAGCGTTGCATGTCGGACAAGTAACTATCAACCTCTCTTAGCTTGAAAGCCAAGAGACCTATCAATGAGTAATGAGAAGTTAGTGCCCATTTTTTGACATGAAATGACAATTTGTGACCTCATATGAAACTACCGAGTTATAAGCATTGCTGGCGTTTTAAGATTTTAGTGGGTATTTTGGTCCATAGGCAGTGGGCGTCATTTGTGGTAGCACTTCCCTTTTGGGATTAGACGGCAAGGAGTTTTAAGAAGGTGGGAATATTTTGATGTTTCGTCCTATCCTTGCATGCCAAAAATCAGTCATTATATTGACCAAAACCAATCATGCAGACCAGCGCTGTCAGCTGTGCTGATCAAGTGATTAGATAGATGATTAAGTAAACCTTACTCAATCTTTTGCATCATTTTCAGCCCCCTAAAATTCCCAATTATGATTTCCAACCAAAGAATTCTTCTTTACGATTTACTTGAGAAAGGCCAAAATTTTGAGGAGTTGGGTTCGTCATTATGGCCGCCAAAACCTAATGTGGCAACACAAAAAAATAACAAAAACAGTGCGATGCAAATCTCGCCTCTTGGGCCATTCCACCAATTGGAGAGTATATATATATATATTATTGTTTCGAAGCTTTCATGATAATAATAATAATTATTATTATAACATATAAGAGAATAATGTTTTACTATAGCTAAGCCTTTTTTTGGCGTTTAGTTAATTTTTTTCTTTTTCATCCTTGTTTTTTTATCTTGCTTTTGTTTGAATCCTTTTTTTATTCTCTTTCTTTAACCTTCTTTCAACCGGTTGTTCATATGGCAGTGATTGAGTTTTTTTTTTTTTCCCTATAAAGTCAAGAAAAATGACTTATGTATGATATGGATAACAATTAATCACGTTCACATATTCTCAATTTTGACATTTGCAATGTTGTTGCTATTGTTGCTGCAACAAAATATCACAAATCAAACTTTAGAAATCACCCATTACATTTATAGATCACCCAAATGAAACAAGGAACTTCTTTTTACTTTTAGTGAAATTTTTTGTTATGTTTTCGTCTTTATTTTAATCATTAAAATTTTATTATATTTGATTTTTTATATTAAAATTAAATACAATTTCATAATCGTAAGTCTATTATAGTTTTTAGTAAAAATTTTCTTTCTATTTTGGTTCCTATTTTGTGATTTTTTTTATTAAAGTTTTATCATGTTTGATTTTTATTCGTGACTTATGCATAATGAGTTTTTTTTTTTTAATCCGATTATTCATAAGTCTTTTTTTGCCTTTTAGTGAAAGTTTTTTTTATTCTTATTTTATGATTTTTTTTTTATCATTTAAATTTTGTCATGTGTAATTTTTGATCCTATTTTTGCCAAACAGGTTTTGAAATATTTCAATTTTATTCCGATTTGACAAAACTTTTTTTCCTTTTGTTTTAGGTGGTCTTTTTCTGTCTCATTAACAAACTACAAATGGAGAACATGAGATAGAAATTAATCCTCAAAACTTCAAAAAACTATCACATCATTATTTTAATTACCATTTATTATACATATTTATAATAAAAATGTATGTTTGTATCAAACAACATTTAATTAGCAACATTATATTTCTCAATTTTGTAAATTTTTCATTTAGCTAATTAACCTTGCGGCAATGCATGAAATATATGTTTTGGTCTTTCTATTTTTGAATTTTTTTCATATAATTTTTTTAAATAATTATCTTTAAATCTGTATTTTATATAGATATACACATAAGAATATTGTATAATTCACCGCACAACAACGCACGGGATATGTGCTATTGAATTAACTAAAAGAGATTGTGGTTTTACTATAGCTAAGCCCTGCTATAGCGAACCAAAACTGCATCATTTGTATCCTTTTAATTTGAAACGACATTGTTTTTTTATAAAAATAAATAAATAAATAAGTGATTTTTTTGGTCATTTGGTTCCCTTTCTTACACTTTAATCATGTCTCTTTATTTAATTCCTACTGCAAAAAGCCCATGATTTTATGGTTGGGTTATGCTTCCAGCCTACGCGTGTGGGCTGGTTGTCTCCAGACCAGCCCAGCCCAGCCTCTTTTATTCTCTTTTTCTTTTTCTTATGCTTTTATTTTTTTCATTATTTTCTATCAACTCAAAAATAAAATTTTTATTTTTATGATTTTATTTTTTCATTATTTATTATTTACTCAAAATAATTTTTCTTCATAATTAATGGCTACTTTTTTATCTTTGACTCATTAACTAAAATTAAACACTTTTCTAATATAAAATGATTTAGCTAATCTAATTTAAAAAAATAAATAAATAAATAATTTTTTGTTTCCTTTCTCAAAATCAAAAATATTCTTAGGATATTTAAACTCAATTATAGAATATATATTTAATTAAATGTTGCATAATATATATTAAATTAAACAAATTCTACAATTAACGTTAATTAATTTTTATTTTATGCCTAGATTGTTTAATTTTTTTAAATATTAAAATGAAAAATTAAATGTTACTTTTTTTATAGACTCATTAACTAAAAGTAAACACTCTTCTAATATAAATTAATTTATCACATTCTTCTAATTTTATTTTTTAAAAAAAATAATTAATTAATTGCATTTTTCTTTTTTTATTAATCAAAATAAAAAATATTCATAGGATATATTTAAATTCAATGATAGAATACGCACGCGCACACACACACACAGATATATATATATATACACACACTTTATTAAATTAAATAAATTCTTACAATTAGTGTTAATTAAATTTTATTTTACGTCTAAATTTTTTAATATAATAAAATATATTATATAGAATTGCATGCTGCAACGCGTGGATAGAATGCTAGTAAATAATCTAAAATAAAATGGGATTTTTATGTAGTTAAGCCTCTAGTTTTGCATTTTGAGGCTTCAAAATAGTGTGATGTTAAACCTTTTTGGCATGCAATGATGCTGTTTTTTTTTAAAAAAAAAAAAAACTTAAATGACTTTTTGAATATTCTACTTTAATCCTTAGAGTTTGAGAATTGTATGAAATGATCCATAGACTTTATTTATGTTAAAATTAGTTCCCTAAATGTAGAGGCAGGAGAGAGGAGAAAGAAGTCTTAATTTGGCGAGATGAAATTTGAGCATGTTATCCAATAATAATAGTGTCGATGTGTCAATTTTCACGATGGAAGTTTATTGATGATGATTTTACTACATCAAGTGATTGAAAAAAGAAGATCGAGTCCTACAATAATAATAAAAAAGAAATTATAATTTTTAATTTGATTCGATATTTTTGAATTTCTAAAATTGATTTAGCATATTTTTATGTTTGCAATGATTTCTAAATATTTTTTGGGATGATTTCAAGGCGGTTTTGAGTAAAAATAGTATTGAAAATGAGTATAGGGCCAAAATAATGGTTAGGAGTGTTCACTATTATGTGAAAACAAATAATCGCATCAAAATATCAATTTTGGAGTGATCTTTTTTAGAAATTAAAAAAAAATCGAACCAAAATATTTTTGGCTTTCAGATTCGGATTCGATTTTGTTAAAAAAAATCTAGTCAAACCGAATAACCCAAATTTATATACGTTCCCCCTATGTGAAATTATTATCTACACCTTGGAGTGTTCATTATTCGGTGAAAATGAATAACAGCATGGAAATATCAATTTTCAAGCAATTTTTTTTTAGAAATTAAAAATTAAAATTTGGTTTCGGTTTTGAAAAAAAAATCTAGTTAAACCAAATAACCAAAATTTATACACGGTCCCCTTATGTGAAATTATTGTATACACCCAGCAGAATAGGGAATAAAACCTAAAAGCAAAATGGACAGTGATCATTCGAAGACTGATCTCCATTCATTAATTTGAATTCAAAGGGATGTCTTTACGTGCATTTTATCACTCTATATATGTCTTGCCATTATAGGAAAAAAAAAAAGGATTTGTTTGTTGGAAATTCATGCTACAGTTGCAGTATTTCATTAAAAGTCAAATGAAAAACTAATCATCAATACTGACAGTACTTCGAGTT